GCTATTTTCCTGGTTCACTGACAGACTATGCACAAACATTAATTCATCCACTGAGGTTAAATTCACTAAAATTGTGTTATATGAAACCATCTATTCATCGATAAAAAGTACAATAACAGGCTCACCATTACTTGTAATTATCCCTTGACGCAACTCCGCTGTCTTTGAGCAGGCGCAGTAGGTATTTTTTTATGTTGCAGTCCTGAATTACCGGCTACGGCTGCTTCTTTCATTTCCTTCTTTCCTCTCCTTCTCTTGACGCAGCTCTCAATGCAATGCCAACAATATAGCGTTTGGAGCAGTTTCTGATCAATAATGATGTCTTAAAGCAGCACTGGCCATTCACCAATAACAGCAGCACGGGGAGCCTACTTTCGCACAGAGGTCAAACCCGGGTTAAGGCCTCTATCTTGCCGAACCGCCTCGTTTTCGGAGCAAAGACGCAAATACCTTGTTAGCATTCGGTGCGCGTCTTTGCTTACATTATTATTGTTATTTAGCTGTCACTGATTAAGCCATGCGGTAAAGCGCACAATGGAGAAATGCGATTTTCAGCTAGGCGTATACCTATACGCTTTCCTTGTAGTAGGAGAAACTTAATTATGCTTGTTTGTTTTGCAGTTTACAACCAGCTAATCTCCCTCCTGTGGAAATTAGGGTTTAGTATTAACTGGAACAAAGACATAGTATTCGCGATCACACTACAAAAATAACCTACTTTGGCACAACAAAAGATTGGAAAACAAAAGTCGACATTGAAGTGTAAGAGGAAGTTGGAATTCCTGGCAGGGATACTCGCGTGGGCCTCCAACATCATTCCTCGTGAAAATACTCACCTTACCCTAATATCCGTAACTGCAACGTACGGCATCGCAAACTTGAAACAACCCACACATAAATGCAGATTGAACCCAATTTTGATCAGGACCTAAAATAGTGGGCTACATGGCAATAATAAACACTCGTTAATTTGAGACACTCAAGCAATATGTTGTGTGCACAGGCTCCGGCAGCATTGCAAGCGGGGAGCTACATGTACCTCAGACCTACCCAACTACCAGATTCGGCACCTGAGGATCCTGAATTAACCGGTATATCGGACCACACTACCCGCTTTCAAGGTGTGTGTCAGATCACATTTCGGAGTATCAGTCAGAACAACGACAGGATGAGCCCACGCTCGGCTGTCACCTTTATTGGATAATAAACGACTGACTGCCAAATTAATCTAATACAATGCAAAAAAGTCCTATCAAAAGTGGTTAAAACATTCAAACCAAATTCCGTAAAGTGCCATGTAACCCCATAGAGACAATAAAATACATGTAGAGTACTCTAAAGTAAGAGTACAGTCTAAGGCTGTTCTAGGTAGTTTTCAAATTTATGCACGCGGTTTTAAAATCATATAGCGATTTTACGACAATCGTTTACTAACCAATCAAGGTGACAGCCGAGCTTGGATGAGCCCGCAGTCGTCCTACAAATTTTTTTCTGGGGTATGATACTCCGAAATGCGATCTGACACACACCTTGAAAACGGGTAGTATGGTGCGATATACCGGTTAATTCGGGATCCTTAGGTGCCGAGTCTGGTAGGCATTTTGCAACCGGTTGCAAAATGCGGTCGGTTGCAAAATGCGGCTCTACATTCTCCGGCGTCTGGTTTTGTACACACTAGCTGCCAGTCGGACAGCGCCGCTCTCAGCGTCAAGCACATTTGATGTGAAAGAACTGGCAGCGATAGTTCTTGTCGCCTTTCTGTCTTCGTGCTTAAGGGCAGCAATGTCGCTATTGGAATCCTTAACAAAGGGTCCTCACGTAATGTTGTTGCAATGATTGACTGAACGAACCGTGACTTGACATCTAGCTGTGTCTCGCACGAAAGATTTTTTAAAACTTTCTCCAGCACATGTACCAAACGTTTACGCATGCAAAATAAAGCGCTTTTTGAAATAAAAAATGGCTAAATTGACAAAGTCTGCCATTGTGCTCCGTCTGGTTGATTTGATTTAATTTGCTTTCTGGTGTCGTTTAAGAAGGTTTATTGAAAATGTTTTATTGATTGTCTGTATCAAAAGATAAATCCATCGGACTTTGTTTAAAATGGCATTGTCTATACTATGACATTGTCTGTACTATAGGGGGATTCCCTTTGCATTTTTAGTGATACAAATGTAAATGTCACTCTTTGGGAATCCCCTCCCCTCACCCACTCTTAATAATGATTTAAAAAAAACATTTGAGAAAGTAAAAATGTATTTAAAATCGAAGGAAGGTTAAATGCAGGTAATGCTATAAGAAAACCCTTATGCGTGTGCGAAATAAGCTGATATAACATTTTGAACTTCTCTTCTCGTGTTTTGACGAGAGTTCTTATTTTTTAATTCAACAATAGGACACAATTTAACCTTGTAAAAATTGGACATTTTAATAAAGTTAATAGTGTGACTTAGAAGATTTCTTGGTTATTATTTATTATTGGAATATTCAAAAATAATAAATAGAAAAATTATGCCGTATAATAATTCCTTATGATTGGCCTATTTATTAGCTAAATTGATATTTTGTAGAATTTACAGGCTAAAAAATGCCAAAGATGGTATGGTATGGTTGACCTCGTTCTCATATCGAGGCACAACGTGTTGTTCCTGTGCTGGTTTCTCCCTGTTTGTATCCGGTAAGAGAGAGGGATTCACAATTTGGTTCTAGTGTAATCCATTCACCATTTGGGATACAATCTTGAACATTTCAGTAATTGTGTAGCAAAATGTGTCTACGGTGCTTAATTAAACTTTTCGTTTCAGAGAAGACAAAAAACCATTGAATAAAGTGCTGCTTTCATATTTTTCATGACATTGTTTTGTCGTCCTTTTCAGTAGCTACAAAATTGTTCGGAATGTTGCTCTCGGGTCCAATTGCAATCAATGCTTGAGATCGAAACGCTTTATCCCAATAACGTTCCTGAATGTATTATATTAACCTGAGTAATTGTGGAACAGGCTATTTAGTCCAAGTGTATAAAAATATGTTTAATAGTTTTACTCCATTGTGCCTGGTAACAGTGGTATTGTAAATACTAGCATTTGTCAAGGTATATTAACCCATTTTACAGGCACAAATTTTTCCACATTACACTGTCACATGCTCGTCATCGTTAACTTTTGCCTCTTTCTTTTCCTTTTGTTCGTCTTGGGGACTCAGATTATCCGGTTTGTTCCACGGCTGCTCCTCGCCGCTGGCAAATATCAGAAAAAACAGCGCGCCAAAACAGTAGATACCACAACTTATGAAGAGAACACGCTGCCACTCTTCCCTCGTACCCTACATAGAAGATATAAAACCCTAATATATACATAAAAGTTGAAATCAAAAAGACAATGTGACTAATAATTGTTTGACTAGCACAAAATGATGTTTAAAAAGTGATAGGCTAAATCGAAATTAAGATAAANTGCCGAGTCTGGTAGGCATTTTGCAACCGGTTGCAAAATGCGGTCGGTTGCAAAATGCGGCTCTACATTCTCCGGCGTCTGGTTTTGTACACACTAGCTGCCAGTCGGACAGCGCCGCTCTCAGCGTCAAGCACATTTGATGTGAAAGAACTGGCAGCGATAGTTCTTGTCGCCTTTCTGTCTTCGTGCTTAAGGGCAGCAATGTCGCTATTGGAATCCTTAACAAAGGATCCTCACGTAATGTTGTTGCAATGATTGACTGAACGAACCGTGACTTTGACATCTAGCTGTGTCTCGCACGAAAGATTTTTTAAAACTTTCTCCAGCACAGGTACCAAACGTTTACGCATGCAAAATAAAGCGCTTTTTGAAATAAAAAATGGCTAAATTGACAACGTCTGCCAGTGTGCTCCGTCTGGTTGATTTGATTTAATTTGCTTTCTGGTGTCGTTTAAGAAGGTTTGTTGAAAATGTTTTATTGATTGTCTGTATCAAAAGATAAATCCATCGGACTTTGTTTAAAATGGCATTGTCTATACTATGACATTGTCTGTACTATAGAGGGATTCCCTTTGCATTTTTAGTGATACAAATGTAAATGTCACTCTTTGGGAATCCCCTCCCCTCACCCACTCTTAATAATGATTTAAAAAAAACATTTGAGAAAGTAAAAATGTATTTAAAATCGAAGGAAGGTTAAATGCAGGTAATGCTATAAGAAAACCCTTATGCGTGTGCGAAATAAGCTGATATAACATTTTGAACTTCTCTTCTCGTGTTTTGACGAGAGTTCTTATTTTTTAATTCAACAATAGGACACAATTTAACCTTGTAAAAATTGGACATTTTAATAAAGTTAATAGTGTGACTTAGAAGATTTCTTGGTTATTATTTATTATTGGAATATTCAAAAATAATAAATAGAAAAATTATGCCGTATAATAATTCCTTATGATTGGCCTATTTATTAGCTAAATTGATATTTTGTAGAATTTACAGGCTAAAAAATGCCAAAGATGGTATGGTATGGTTGACCTCGTTCTCATATCGAGGCACAACGTGTTGTTCCTGTGCTGGTTTCTCCCTGTTTGTATCCGGTAAGAGAGAGGGATTCACAATTTGGTTCTAGTGTAATCCATTCACCATTTGGGATACAATCTTGAACATTTCAGTAATTGTGTAGCAAAATGTGTCTACGGTGCTTAATTAAACTTTTCGTTTCAGAGAAGACAAAAAACCATTGAATAAAGTGCTGCTTTCATATTTTTCATGACATTGTTTTGTCGTCCTTTTCAGTAGCTACAAAATTGTTGGGAATGTTGCTCTCGGGTCCAATTGCAATCAATGCTTGAGATCGAAACTCTTTATCCCAATAACGTTCCTGAATGTATTATATTAACCTGAGTAATTGTGGAACAGGCTATTTAGTCCAAGTGTATAAAAATATGTTTAATAGTTTTACCCCATTGTGCCTGGTAACAGTGGTATGTAAATACTAGCATTTGTCAAGGTATATTAACCCATTTTACAGGCACAAATTTTTCCACATTACACTGTCACATGCTCGTCATCGTTAACTTTTGCCTCTTTCTTTTCCTTTTGTTCGTCTTGGGGACTCAGATTATCCGGTTTGTTCCACGGCTGCTCCTCGCCGCTGGCAAATATCAGAAAAAACAGCGCGCCAAAACAGTAGATACCACAGCTTATGAAGAGAACACGCTGCCACTCTTCCCTTGTACCCTACATAGAAGATATAAAAACCTAATATATACATAAAAGTTGAAATCAAAAAGACAATGTGACTAATAATTGTTTGACTAGCACAAAATGATGTTTAAAAAGTGATAGGCTAAATCGAAATAAAGATAAAATTCACAAAGCTTAGGCTGCATAGAAGACAAGGAGACAGCGTTAATTAGCATGGACTTACATTAGGCGTAAGAGCACTGGCCACACTGGGGGAAATTATGCCCGGGAGAGCAGAAACAGTGTTGCTGATACCAAATAATTCACCAGCAAACCTGCATAAAATTATTTTTGAAATCCCATGCATTTTAAGTACTGAAATGCACATAATGACAAATACTTGCTGTACATGTTTTAGAAAGTGGTGCCTACATTGCTGTTTTACACACATTATTTTAAACAATTAATGTTCCAAACGATGCATTCCATATAATCTATAATCTATATTCCAAACAAAATTAAGTTAAAGTGTTTCTGTAAGGTTCCTTCAATTAAATTAGATATTATGTACATGTGCACTACTGGCTGTCATCTTTCGGTTTACTTCAAATACCTTCTTAATTATACTACCTCACCTAGGAGCAATGTCTGCGTGGTTAATCTGGTTGCCTGCTATGCCACCCGCTGAGAAGGCCACTGCCAGAGTTATAAAGGCCACGCCAAGCATCCTGGTGTCCCAGTCTACGAAGGCTGTGGCAAACATAAAAGCTGCAGGCAAAAATCCTCCTGAAAGCATACCGGTGATGACGTATGATATGACGTCACACTGATCAATGCCTCTCTCATAGAGACCATTCCTACTGATATTTAGATCGATCTATTCCCCTGGGGAGCCTCCCCAGCAGGCATAGTGACGTTGGATCAACGTTGAAAACAGGTTGGGACGTTGAATTGCCGTTGATCTACCTAAATTCAACGTAAAATCAACGTTGATCCAGCCACGTGAAAACACCGTCATAATGTGACGTTGACTCAACGTTGTATTTTGGTCATTGACTCAACGTTGTTGTTTGGTCGTCGTGATGCAAGACATGGATTATAATTTAAAATATTAATTATTGAAGACGTGATACTTTGTTTATCAATACTATAACTAACTTTATCAAAATATTAAAAACGATGTTTTAAAGTAAAAGTGACAGTTGTTTTGTCTCTAGTGAACTAGTGAATTTTCTTAACTTGTTATTCAGAAATACATTCCAATAAACTTCCTGGCAAGGTCAGTTAACACTAGGATGAATAAGTCGCTGTAAATGTGATGGAGGGAAGTTAACAAAGTTGACAGTTCTCGGTACCCTGTTATAGACAGGTTGAGGTGACTGTGACTTTGTTATATATATATATATATATATATAAAACTAAACACCTTGGAAATCCTAATTCAAGGGCCATACATATATACCCTACATATATTTAGCCATCAAACATGTCCTGCTGCTAAACAAATCCAGGCTAAAAGGGTGTACCGTGCTTAGGTGTAAAACATGCTTAGGAGCTAAATGCGTTGAAAAAATCAGACAAAGCAAGCATTTTTACAGTGTACGTTATAATTGTGTACCTGTGTTTTGTACCAAAAAATAAAAACATTTCAGGTCATTTTAATGTCTTTTCATGCAAGAATGTTGTCTAACAACTGGGGTTGATACAATGTTGTTATCTGACGTTGATACAACGTTGTTATCTGACGTTGATCCAACTTTCAAATCCAACGTTTATCCAACGTCTTATCAACGTTATAGTTCAACGTTGTTTCAACGTTAAAACAACATAATTTGCCCGCTGGGTCACTAGATTGCTGTCAGCTGAATCGTCTTAAATATCTGTCCCGCCTACTAAAAGCTGTAAGGGGGTAATCATATATATGTAACTTTTGTGCGCGCTCGACTCCCGGAAGCTGACAGCAATTTAGCGTGAACCCCCAGGGAGTTAGGTAGATCCAAATGGATCGATCTAAATCTGTGGGAACCCAGTCATAAACAAAAGGCACACATAACCCCTGTTCATATGCTTTACTATAATACGATATGAAGTGCATCTGTAGGCATCTCAACATCGAAATATTTGTCTTATTTATAGTCAGGTGAGAATAAAATATATTTCTCAGGGTTAAGGATTCAGGATTCTCACCAATTGACTGAAAAAGTTTCCTGGTCCACGTTGTGTCAAGTATGACACGCTGTCTCAGCTGATCTGCGACTTGACCACACACGATGATACCGAAGATCATCGCTGCATAAGGCAAAGAGGAGAACAATCCATTCTGAAAGATAATTGTGATGCTACCAGATATAGAAACAATGACAATAATGGCTGAATGGCAAAGCTGACGTAAATGGATTTTGAAAAACTGAAATACATATAAAATAAATTAACGAAAAAATAGAGACGTTTGATTTTAGAGACGATTATACATATATATAGTGCATTCTCTAATGTGACCACTCACAAATGAAAGGGAAATCGAAGAATATTGCTACTAAAATCTACTTACCTCTTTAATATCAAACGCCAGAACTTCTTTCATATAGATAGGTAGACTGGTCAACAGGGTGAAAAGGCCCCAATTGTCACATGTGTGCGTCACAATTATGGCCCAGACTGCTGGGGACTTGGCAATTGCTAACCATGGGACTGGTACTTTCTGCAAAGAGGACATATTTTATCTTCAAGTGCTATGTTTGGAAATTATTAGGCCAATTTTAAGTTGTTTTATATAGTTCAATCTCCTTGGGGGTAAAGCCCATTATTTATTTATTTATTTATTTAGTGAACGTTCAAGAACATCCCATAGTGTATTAGGTATTGTTTTCAACAAATTCCATTGTGTAAGCTGTGAAATTCAAATGCTACCAAAACTTACGATTTCTGGGTTCGCTATAAATTCATGTTAATAATATAGACCTATTAGACATATTATTTCGTGTTAAATCCTAGTTATGATCGTCTGACCTGTTCTCCTGGTTGATGACCAATGGTTGTCTCTATGTACTCTCTCTCCGCTTGGCTTATTCTTGGGTGACTGGCGGGGGAGTCAAACACGAGCAAGTACCACCCGCATAACCAGATGAAACAGAGGCCACCTGGAGGATGAAACATTTAGTTACACCTCGAACCACCTTCTAGAGTTTCCAATATTTTTATTGAAAATTTATTACTGCCGACATATTACGCTGAACATTTTGGTTTTAAGGCCACATAACCTCTTCGCCAAAATCAAGCTAAATATTCCCTAAAGATAACACTGGTTGTCATATCATGCTCAGGCCCGTAGCCAGGGGGTGTTCGGGGGGTTCGAAAGAACCACCCTTTTTCCTGGGAAAAGGTCCATTCTGGGTAAAATTTGATCTATGTACTTGAGGATTTTATGGTAAAAGGTTCACTTTTTCATAAAACGACCCCCCCTCCTCTGAAATTGCTGGCTACGGGCCTGATGCTCAATAATGTGTCTTTAATTTGTCTTCCTGCAAATTTAATGAACACAAAAACAGATGTATTCACAACTTATTTCCATACTATATAAGATATCCTGTCTTTTCCTGTTCCATCTTTTAAATTTTCTTTAGAAATGTATCAACTTACCATAAACGTAGAAAATAAACGGCCATCCGTTGTCCAACTGAATCTCACAGAGTAACCCAGAGAATGAGAAAGAGACAATGACCCCGACAAATGGACCTTGAAATGTAAATGTACATATAAAGTTCTATTAGCAACAAAATGTGTCAATTGTTCCGGCATACATGAAGAAAACACAGATACTTTGAGTACATTTTCTTCAAATATTATTCTTATTCCGACATTGACAGATCCGTATTTAATATATACAAATGCCTTTTTCCCCCACATTTGTGTCTGTACACAAAACGTACCTGAGTAACAGAAGGTCATCAGCCTACTCCTCTCTAATGGCGGCGCCCATTTCCCCCACATCGCATGCATTGCCGGGAATATAACCCCCTGGAAAAATAATAATATAATAATAATATATTTATTTCGAGTCTAAAATCCATAAAATGTTCAATAGACTGTACAACATAAAGAAAAAGTTTATGGATAAAAATTATTAAGATATATATTATATAAATCAGAGCCAGACTAAAATTGTAATAAACAGTAATTAAGAGTGAAAAAAAAAAACATAGAAAAGTTTGAAAAATTCAAGTTTAGTAAGCTTCTAAAATAACCATGTTCTGGAATTAAATGTACACATGTATGTCATTGTGGATCTAATATTGACATGTGCGTGCCTGTTTTTGCCAAGGAATATTTGCAGTGCATTAAGAATAATTATTGAAGACCATACGGAGCAGCTTCAGTCAAAACATTTTTGATCAGAGCAAGATTTTTGTTGAGGAACTTACGGATGCCAGCCCCAAAAGTACACGGGCTGCTATCAAAAGTGATGGATGTGTCCTGGCCGCAATCGGCGTCACAACCGTCATCACTAACACAATCACCATCGCTGTGCCGAACACGTGTTTCCCGCCATATCTTCCCGCCAGCCAGCCACCAAATATTTGGGTGCATATGTACCCATAGAAGAACGAACTCAATATGGTGCCTCTGAGGTTTTTATCCCAGTCGAATTCACCTTCCTGGAAAAAATATGTAAGTCAAATAATTCGATTAAAATAAAATTAGGGGAAACATTATTTCTTCCACTTTACTATTGACAACCTTCCACCCACTCACATATGTACCAAGCGATGATTGAATTGAGTTTGAAAAGATTGCTTCAACTTGGAATGCTTCGACCTTTCTTATATTTTTCATGTATTTATCCACCTCAAGGGTTGCCAGATTAGTTAATCATAATATATACATTTTTTTATTTTGTTTTGTTCTTCTCGGACCAAGCACCCCACAAAAGTAGTCAAATCATTTTTTAAATTGATCAGTACGCTTTGGTGAATTTCGCCTTGAGAAATAAAAAAATTCAAAAGAAGTTGCACTTTTTCTTGGGATAACACACAGGAGACGAGTAAGCCAGTTTCATCTCAATTTTGAGAATCAACTGATCATGTGCTTAACCGTCAATATGAGGCTCTGACTGTGAAATACGATCAACTGTACACATGTATACTGATTGTGTGCAGATTGCATTTACTCTGAAATAAAACAAATTTACTTGTAAACGTGGTTGAGGTAATAAACATGATTTATCGGACTGCGGGTGTCACTTACATTCTTTCCACTAGAATCTCTAATGGCTAGCATCCCAATTTGGTCATGATGGCCAGAAGTACTGTTTTCGGTGTTCACTGCGCCATCTATCGTCGCATTAGTTCCATTTAAGAAATTTGCGCTCCTCTCTGTCACCATGCATACTATGGCGAAACTCATGTTTGTACGCAGGGTTAGCACGTTTATCAAGCCAATAAAACCCATCAAGGACAGACAAACTCGACACGACGTCCAATATGGAACTATAATTGAAAAGAGTAAAATGAATGAAAGTAACATAGAGTATATTTATACATAAAATTAATACATATAAATACATGTGATGTGATGTGATTATAGGCTACCGAAGTTTCGTTTGCATAAGCAAGAAAATACCGCGTATACTGGGCCATTATTGCGCAACTTTCCCTCTTCCAAGGAACACTTCACTACATGTACGTTTCTTGTTTGTAAGTTCACCCATACATGATGACGCTGACTTTTCATCTTTGGAAAAATTACAAAAAAAGCTAAATTGCAGAGCAAAAGCGAAGATACTGTAGAGAGTATAGCCGCGCCCTAAAGTTTATATAGCCACAACAAAACGGTGTAACATGTAGAGGCTACTATAAAAGACGCAATGTTTGTTTACGTTCTGTTTACTGTATTGCGAAATATTCTAATGACATCATAATCCCATTTTGCCCTTTAACAATTATGTCCCTTTAATATTTTATTAACTATCTTAAAAGATTGATGAATATTGATCAGATAGCCTTTGCGCAAATCCAATGTACCCTACAGTGTACTCTTCCTTACTCTATCTTGGTTAACCTTTAGTTAATAAAGTAAAACACTAAGTATTCGACTTTTACCCCGCTATACAACTAATACAAGTATTTTCTTTGTTTTGACTCTGTTCTTACCACTTTGCTCTACGGACACGATGTTGTCCTCTGATTCTCCAACTGACATTTCCAGCGGAGCTACACGCTTCTTCAACGGCGTATTTCGATCCATGGTATGCCGCTAATATACCGCGTCGCAGAACAACGGCATACAGTCTGTATCATATGGAAAGAGCTTGGTGACTGCGACTCGGAATCGACATTATTTCATAGGGCTAATGTTTCTTGGAATTGATGTAGTTTAGAATCACCATCTAATCGTAACAAGACGAATTACCTTTGACACAACTTGCGGAAAAAGAAGTAGGGTATCTGTGGAGGTCACGCCCATCTGCTAGTCGTCCTCCTCAGCCAACAGCAGTTGACGACGATGGTTATCAACTCTCGTCTACCTTCTACTGGTTTCAGACATGCATAGCAATTCACTGATCCGAATATGAACGGCCTAAGCCATGTTTACAATGCAACCCATGACCCTTTCTGTATGCATTTCTATTTTTCCTCAGTTCAGTGATATGACCACACCGTGACTTCTCATACATTCATGAAGATCAGAGATACATGAAGTAACCCGCTCGCAGCACCACATGCAAGACTTCTTGGTGTTTTATTTATTTATTTATTTATTTTTGAATAAAGAGAAATAGAAGTATTGCATGTATATTTGTACTTTATGCGCACAAAGTATATATACAGGTTGAGCCATGACACTACATTCTTGAATAAGAAATAAGGTAATAATACACAAACGAACATGCATGCCTGACTAGGATAGACAAATATGTTACAAGTACATACCTGAATAAAGAGAAATGCCCTTATTATATTGAGTGTACTGCACGAACACAAAGCGACTGTCGAGGTTGAACAAGGAAAGGCAGGCTCCATAGTGGAAAAGACCTGGAAGGGAAAATGAATAGAAAACAACAAAACAATAACCAATTAAGACAAAGACCATTACGTAAGCATGGCATAGTTATATTAAACCGGTATTACTATACCAGTAGATAGACAGTAGAATTAATACATTTAAAAGTATCACGACTCTGCACTAGTTCATCCCGTTACACACACACAAACTTGGAGTAAATAGAAAACTCCAATACAGCGATGTCATATAGTCGTCAGTTATCAAGATCCTTTCCCTATTGAACATACTTACATTCAGAAGTCACTCAGAAATTGTAGGTATCCTGACTGAGCGTTTGTAAAAGCCAACAAAAAGAAAGAGTCAGAATGTCCATCCACCAAAGCTGAGGATGTAAGTGACATGTAAGAATAACTATTCCTTAGTAGTAGTAAGCCCTACTATTAGTACATAAAGTAAGATTTATTTCAGAAAGCATTACGTATACAATCTATAAACTTTATATTTATATTCTCCAGCGTAGAGAATGCTGCAAAGCTGGTTTTATATTACACTAAAGAATTGTAATAAACACAAGAAAAAAAGTATTCTATATGAATATACTTAAAGACAAAAAATGACAATTTCTATAATTTGAACGTGGCTTTGTCTATTTCGGGAAGAGTCTATAAATCCCGCAAGCTTTATCGCATATTTTCCTCTAAGGTAGCTCTAAGGTTCCCAATTGTAGATTTAGAGACAAAAGTTCATACATAGCTGGACTACGTGTCGCTGTTTGTGGTTCTACTGACTGTTCAGGGACACACATTGCAAAAACAAAACAAAATTTTAAAGTACCAATAAACCAGCATAGAAGACCCAGCGTTAATGGACTACAATTACTCTGAGATTTTTCCAACACACCAGAGACACTGGTCATATATAACAGATGATGAGGACTTCGCCATTCGTGACCAGGAGGAATACTAGGAGGCAAAAGCGGCACCAAAGGAGCTACTTGGGCGCGGGTGGAAAACCGAACACTCAACAAGAAAAAGAAGCCTCTTGTTTATCCTCTCGCACAAATGGGACGGGGTGGTGGAGAATTCTCCTAGCCGTTTGACAATAGATCATGTGACAAGTCCTTTCAGGCCATTACCAAATGAAAGATCAAAGTTATATATGAAGATAGTTGCTCATATCCTATGTGGCTTTGTTTACAAATGATATATTGTATAGTATTTAACATGGCTAGGGGGTGGGGTTAAGAAGTAAGGACATCTTCAGGGAGCTGTCACTACAGGTGATATTGTTGGCAAGACCGCATTGTTTAGCGTCTCTTCTGGTCCTCAAATCAAATTCGGTCCCTTGGTTCTAAACTGTTTACAAGAGGCTCTGTTCTGGTCTTACACCTGTAAATGTCCATCATGACGTGTACAAACGTGTTCCCCAAACATGTCCTTAGCTGGCTCTCTTTTGGGCCCCAAACTTTTTCTGCGGTATAGTCTTCATTTGCAAATCTGCCAGTATGACGTTCGGGGAGGGGAGGGTGTTAATTACTTGCATTTTAGCAACCCAATTAACGCTCATTTGGTTGATTAGCGAAATCAACAGGCTAATTGGGTGCTATTTCACAGCATAAATTGAAATAGATAAACTGCAGAGTAACCTTGTGTCCCAAGGATACTGCTTATAATTATTTATCCCCTTCAATGTTCCAATCCACCCTAGTACTTGTAATTGATACTCTGTTTCTTGATTAATGTGAGAGATCCGAAAGATGAAAAGAGCGCGCAGACTTGCTTTTGGCAGGCCTAGGTCATGTCACAACGAAATGGATAGGGCATCTCAGGCCACAAAAATATGGCTTCACAGGGCAGTGAGTTGAACTCGAGAAATATCACTCTCAGACAAAACTCCGAGCATATATGCTCACCTTGCTTCTTTCATGTCTTTATAACAATTTTATATTCAAACATCTAATAAAATTTCATATTTGAAAAAAAAATTATTGCAGGATTTAACAAGTATATCACTTCGTACTTTGCACCATTGCTATTGTATGGCGCAGAGTACATGTTCTAAACAAGTATACCTGCAAACAGTAAAGATTGTTTGATATTAATAAAAATATAAATGTTAATCATAATAACTAAATCACTCTGCCGGCTAACTGGCTAGCGGTCATTGCCAAGATGTGTTTAATTTATAACACTCTCCTCTAGTTCGGGACATTACAGAAATGTGTGAACATGATATTAATTCGAGAAAGGGTATTTTATAGTGTTTGTAAATGTTAAAAAGAAAATTACCAAAAATATATAGATTTCCATATTGAGAAGACATGTTTCACTCTACTCCCACTCTACTCCCCCACTCCTGATTTGCTGGTCCGAGGAACTATATGTTTGTCCTAAGCTCTTGAACGAGCTTGATAGAAACCAAATGTGGAGATAGTGAGATTCTGTTACCCGAGCCAGACTACCGACTTACCGATCTTACAGGTTGAAACAAATGGGCAGGGGGGGGGGGGAGATATATATCTTCTTAACCGACCAAGCTAGATAACCACGAAACATGATGAAGTATATCAAAAGAAAGGCTCAACTTGAAATCTTTTTTATTTCAGATCGTTATTTCATAACATGATAGTTGCATAAGAGATAAAAGGCGCAAAATAGAATATACGGTAAAAGGTTTCGAACAATTAAATAGATGTACAATTAACGTTAAAGGGATAATATATCTTCGTATGAGATCTATATTTCACAATAAAAACATTGTGAATAACTCATAGAAATATAATATATTCTGTTTTACCACAAAAACGGCAGTTTTAGCTATTTTTTCAGATATCTGAGCTGGTCTTTAGACCACGTGACCTCCATTGATGGCTATACTCTGTTAAAATCTCTTAAGAGATTTTAACAAAAAAATAAACTTTTTAGAAAAAAAACAGGGACTAACTTTGAATGTAAAAATGGATTCATTAACCATTGGTTAGTATGGGAAAATTGTTGTTTACTCCAGGAAAATTCATTTTTTGGCCGAAACGAAGAGTTATTGTTATTTTTGTTATGCCTTGGATTGGCTCCATGGCCCAAAAGCAACAGTAAAAACTCTTTATCTACGGGTATGCGTCATATATGTAAACTCTCAATCAAATCCGCACATGGTCAGCTGTGTCATACTGTAGGAATTTGTTTGTTTATTGATAGACTATGTTTCTATTAAACCTACAGTTCTTAATAGTCATACCGAAACGTGCACTTGGCTGCCTCTTTTTTGGCCTCTAAATCATTTTCTTTGGCGTGTAGTTTTTATTCAGAAGCATGCTAATATGTCGTTCGGTGGGGTGGGGTGGGGTGTTATTTAAAAACAATTTTATTTGTTTAAACGGTCATGTGATCGACAGGTAAGGTGAT